TTGTTACTCTCCCTCATTCCTTGCCCTGCAGAAGATGATATTCTGTATGTTTGCTACTCATAGCATGGTCGGAGGACTGGCAGCCTTAGTTTTATTTGGGAGTTTGTCAGAAAAGTTGAATCTCAGGCCCCATCCAAGATTCTGAATCAGAGCCTACATTTTAGCAAGACATCCCAGGAGACTCCAGTGCACCCTGAAGTTGAAGGAGCAGTGGTCTCAGCATCACTGCTACTGCCTCTCTTATTGTTTCTTCCATTAAAACCAGAGGTAGGATCCCATTTGCACTATGTGTGGGGCTTATATACCATGCCGCATATAATCCAGTTATCATAATAACATTTCAACATAGAAATGGTTCACACATTGGTTTTTTATGGATCCCATAGACCTCAAGGAACATGTCCAAGGCTGCACAATTAGTAAGTACCACCCAGTGTCAGGAATGGAACCCAGGCCTGTCTGTTTGCAAACCCTGGACACAATCGCGTACAAGGATTCATTATGGTTTATTTGAAAGGTGACCCCTGGAGGCAACAGTGAGAGAGTGGGGAAAATGAAACAGGAATGGGCAAGGTTGATAGGGGTGCATTAGAGAGCCAATTAACAAACTGGGCATTTGGGGCCTCATCTCTGGGGATTCAGGCGTAATTTGGAACATACATGCCAAGGTTAATCCAGAGCAGTGGTAGAGCTGGGGTATCTATTTAGTCATAGATAGAGGGCTGCTCTGGGTGTGCTAACTCCCTGGCATTTCTGGGCAGCCACATATGTGGACAGAGTAGACCCAGGTGATCTGAGACAGCCCTTAGGCAGGGAAATGCCGATGCTGGCTGTTGGAAGTTGAATCAGGATTAGGGCAAGAGGAAATGTCTGGAATGCCAACAGGTTCTCTGCACTGTGCTTCCCTGTCTCTTACAGAAAGAATCCTCAGATAGCTATTTGCCTCTGAATTCTTATTTATTAGACCAAATCTTGTTACCAAATTAAAGGAAACATCCACACAAAATCCTTATTCTTGGGCATACTGGCACGTTTTTCAGACATTAGAAAAAAATCTGCACAATGAAAAAGAACATATCTAATCACTCTATCTTCTTTTTTTTTTTTATTTGACAGGTAGAGTTAGACAGTGAGAGAGAGAGAGAGAGACAGAGAGAAAGGTCTTCCTTCCTTGGGTTCACCCCCTAAATGGCCACTACGGCTGGAGCTACGCTGATCCGAAGCCAGGAGCCAGGTGCTTCCTCCTGGTCTCCCATGTGGGTGCATGGCGCCCAAGCACTTGGGCCATCTTCCACTGCCCTCCCAGGCTACAGCAGAGAGCTGGACTGGAAGAGGAGCAGCTGGGACTAGAACCTGGCATCCATATGGGATCCATATGGGATGCCGGCGCCGCAGGCGGAGGATTAGTCAAGTGAGCCGTGGCGCCGGCCCCAAATCATTCTACCTTAACAAGTAGGGAGTTTCATTGTACCATATTCTCTAGTAGTACACATCTCTATATATACATCTTGTTATTTTCTTGTTTTTGAACTTAATGCATCATTACTACATTCTATGTGGTGACTTAGTCTATAAAAGTGATTAGGCAAGGCTGCAAAACGTTCCACTGTGTGACTGCCACAGTGCCTTGAACGGATCCTCTACCTGCCTATGTAGGCTGAGGCACATAGCTGAAGTGGCACAAATATAGGAAGAGGTGCTTTTTCACCATATGAATGCAATTCCATTTATTTCGCAGAGACTGAAGCATTTCCACAGGCTTTGTTTCATTCAAGAAATATGTGTTGAGGAGCTGCTACATGCCCGGCTCTGGGCTGGGTGTAGTGGTAGGAGACAGATACAGACAGTCTTTGTCCTCTGGGAGACAAGCCTATTGTGAGGCAGTTGGTGAGAAGTTAAATAGCAAACAATAAGTTAAATACCATTAAAAAATGCGATGTGCAACACTCGGGCAATGTTTTGATAAGCTTGGAAGTGTGGGTTTCACAAAAGGTCACTGACTTTGTACCTTGTAATCTCCCAGGCAGAAAATCCATGGTGGGTCTAATGAAACTTTAAAACAAAAAAGATGTTGCACTGTTAAGTGGATATTCCACAGGAACTTACATATTGAGAACCAGCGTACAAGGTGGCCTTCCTGCATGGTGTGATCCTAAGGACTGCTGAGGGCCCAGGTCCTTGGTGGTTTGCTTTCTCATGGAGCTGGAGTCGGAGCCCAAGGCTGTCGGACTCCAGAGCTGTGCCCTGGCACTGGGAGTCAGTAACATGTTCTCAGTAGGAACAGTTTTATCTGGCAGATTTGTCCTGGTAGAAATACACACCTATTCTCATCATTGATATTGATATCTGTGATAGGAATTGTTTGAAAGACTAATTTCTGATTTTTCAGTAACAATATATACAGTGCATATTTTCTCTTATGGTTTTCTTTCAAAGAAGAAAAGTAGTGATAAATCTTTTTTTTTTTAGTGAATTGAGAGATATGCATATCCTCTAGATCAAATATCAAATGATCTAATGTGTAGTAATTAGATAATATCCAATTATGTAGTAGGTTTAGATTTGTTATATTTTTACTTCTTTTTTTAATAGAAAGCTTCTATTTAATCAATATAAATTTCGTAAGTACAACTTTTGGACTATAGTGGTTCTTCCCCCCATACCCACCCTCCCACCCCCAAACTGTCCCACATTAGTCCAAGCACCTTGTAGACTCATCTAAAGATGTAAAGACATAAATATGCAACATGTACAGATTCAAAGCCTCATAAGCCCTTTACAAAATAACTGTTTTTCCTCATTTTTCATTTAAAAATATTTATTAAAAGAATGGGAGAAAATTGTTGCAATTTAAATATTTGGCAAAGGACATATCCAAAGTATCTCAAAATTCAAGAACAAGAAAACAGACAAGTACCCCTTCCGCCAAATTAACAAAATTTGGGTAAACATTTCTCCAGCGATGTACAGGGTACCAAGTAGGCACACTGAAATATGCTTAACATCTATAGGGAAATGCTAATTAAAACCCAAGTGAGAAGCCAGTACACACCAATTAGTGTAGCTGAGATGAAGGAAATCTAACAATGCCAAGCGATGGTAAGGGTGTGGAGAAACTGGAATTCGTAGGTAGCTGGTGGGACTGTGAAATGAAAGAGGATCTTTGGCAGTCAGGCAGTTTCTTATCAAGTTAAATACATACTTACTGGGCCAGCGCCGTGGCTCAGTTGGTTAATCCTCCGCCTGCGGTGCTCGTATCCCATATGGGCACCCAGTTCTAGTCCCGGTTGCTCCTCTTCCAGTCCAGCTCTCTGCTGTGGCCCGGGAGTGCAGTGGAGGATGGCCCAAGTGCTTGGGCCCTGCACCCTCATGGGAGACCAGGAGGAAGCACCTGGCTCCTGGCTTCGGATCGGCGCAGTGCGCCAGCTGTGGCAGCCATTTGAGGGCGAACCAACAGAAGGACCTTTCTCTCTGTCTCTCTCTCTCTCACTGTTTTTAACTCTACCTGTCAGATAAATAGAAAAAAAATACACACTTACCTTTTGACCCAACCATCCTATTCCTAGTTATTTATCCAAATGAAATAAAAACTTGTGATCACACAAAAGGGATTGTAGCTATTTTATTCACTGTGGCCCCAAACTAAAAACAACTCAAAAGACTAACTGGAAAATGGGTCGATGAACTGTGGCACATTTGTAAGTGGCATACTACTCAGTAATGAATAGGTCTGAACTACTGCTACAGTAGCATTAGGCTAGGTGAAAGAAGCCTGCAAAATGTATATACTTTCATTTGTAAAACTTGCAACACTACAGGACAGAAACGAGCGGGTGCCAGGAGCTGAGGGTGAGGGAAGGAGCTGACTACAAGAAGAATGAGGGTGTATTTGGGGTCAGCAGAACTGCTCTGCATCTTAATTGCCGTGGTAGTTACATGACCATATACCTTTGTCAAAACTCATAGGTCTGTGCATTAACAAAGGAGGCTTTGACATGTAAATTATACCGTAATCTAAGAAAATATTAGTTTCATCCCAGGACTGAGACAACCGCTAAGCACTGAGAATAAAGAGATCACTTAGGTCAGTGTAGCTGAGGATGTAAACATGAAGGCACAGAGCTAAGTATAATACTAGTGAGACCAAGATGTTTCATAATAGAGGTGTAACAAAAGCGAGGGTAGCATAGAGAAGGTTGCAATGAACTCTAATTATCTGTGTGTGCATGTGTGTGTGTGCTCCTGCTGGAGAGCGGGGGTGGGGAGGACCTCTCCCGGAAGTGATGAAGAAAGCTCCCCCGTAAGTCCCCTTGGGTGAGGGAGAGGAAGAGGGAGCGGGTCCGTCCCTCTCCCCGCCACTAACGTGACCAGAGTCAATGAGGAGTTATCCCTCCCCAAAACAATACAGAGAAAGGGCAATTGGGAGTTTTGAAATAAAGGAACTAGTGAGCATTGGTTTAGCCAAAGGAGAAGAAACACCAACATTATTGGAGCCACAGCTGCTACCCATGCAGGTTTCCTGGCAGGGAGCAGGTTATCTGTCCTGTGAGTCTGAGGGCACACCCTGCGTTAGCCTCCAGGCGAGGAGATAATAATAGTATGCTCAGGCTCTGGAAGGGTTTATGAGGAGGAAGTCCGCAATTACATATTTCTGGGCAAACATTAACCAAGATTGAAACCCAGATTTGGAGAAAAATAACAGGCTGGAATCTTCAGACATCTTCTGGAGCTGTTCTGTGGATTGAAAACAGTAGTCAGACACTCGACCGACGCTGGGAGCTAAGGTACAAGGTGGAGAAGTCGGTCGGGACAACATGCCGAGATCCCGGATCACATCTGCCCACAAAACGTGTCCTAGAGCACACAGAGCGCATTGTCCACATGCGAATGCTGAGAAACTATTTACATTCGCGACAACAACGCTGAAGCCACAACATAGGGTCTATTGTTCCCTTCACGCCATGACCCGATCTATTTACCCCTGTGGTTGAAGAACTCACCGCTGCACACTGACGGGCCTCTTCTTGGCAGTGTCGCCCAAAGCGTCTCAATCACTGTTACTACAGTCTGAACAATTTTGGTTCCACGCTGTGGTTTTTATAATTTCCATTTTTCAAACTTCTTAGATGGAAACCATGATGTGCCCGGCCTAGGCTGGGCACACTGAAAATGAAACTGTTAAGCTAAAATTAGCCCGACATCAAGATGGTGCGTGTTCATTTTCCGTATATTTATAGCTGACCACAGTCATTATACAGAAGGCAGCTAGTCGTTACTGTGCACTCCAGGGAACAGGAGGGGCGGTGGCAGTCACCAAAAACAGAACTGGAAGTCTTTGCAAAGGCAGAGGGGGGCGGAGGTGGGGGGAGCTACGGTTGGAGCCCAGCACTGCCTGCATCTCAGGGTGGGCAGCCCGCGTCGGGAGGGACTGCAGCTGTTTATCTCCCGGCTTTCAGCTGTTCATCAGAAGGGATAGGGGCCTCAGAATTTCACTTACCTTACCGCACAGGAAGTGGACGCAACACGGCTCCCTCTTAATGTTTCTGCACCTGTAACTTAGCTGCTGGCCTATGCAACAGGCAAAGATAAATGAACGCATCCTCTTGGAGCAAAAAGAAACTGGGACTAGCGTCAGATCCGAGCTGTAGATCAGTTTTTGGCCTGTAGCTAGTCGTGTGACGTGGATCTCGAGTTCATCTATTAAATTCAGAAAGTTGAACTAAGATTCTTCTAGTTCAAAGTTCAAGTACTTCTCATTTTCTCTGAGAGAAGAAATATAATTTTCATCATTCTTTTTGTGTGCTGAATAGGTCAAAAACTACAGAGGAAAGAAGGAAAACCCAATATAATTAACATTTATATGTATATATTTTTCAGTTACAGAATATCAGGTGGAAAATTGCCATACCTCAGGGATAAAATTTCTTGTGAGACAATGTAGATTATCCTTACCTTTGCACAGTATTTTTTAAAAAGATTTATTTATTTATTTTGAAAGTAAGAGTTACAGAGGGAAAGAGAGAGAGGAAGGGAGAGACAGAGAGAGAGATAGAGAGAGAGAGGGAAAGAGAGAATCTTCCATCCGTTGGTTCATTCCCCAGATGGCTGCAACAGCCAGTGCTGGGCCAGGCGGAAGCCAGGAGCCAGGAGCTTCATCTAGGTCTCCCAGGTGATGACAGGGGCCCAAACACTTGGGTCATCTTCTGCTGCTTTTCCTAGCTATTAGCAGGGAGCTGGATTGGAAGCGGAGCAGCTGGGAGTCTAACTGGGCACTCTGATACAGGATGTGGGCGTCTCAAGTGGAGAGTGTACTGCACCGCATGGCTACCCTAGAATGCAAATATTTGTGATCACAGAGTGCACTGCACATATTTCTTTTTTGATTTTACTCATTCAATTTTCAAAGTAAAAGTCTTTAGGTATGTCATAGAAAGATGCTTGATGGGTTATGTCAAGTATCCCATCTAAAATGACAAAGTTTGCTTACAATCCCTGCTATTTACTTCCAAATGTGTTATTAGAGCCTTTTTTTTTTTTTACCATTGTCGTTCACTGACAGAATTATTATATTGTGTTTAATGAGGAAGGGAACCCAATGGCAGCAGAACTCCTAGTAATGTCCTGAGTAATAAGAAATAAGAGGAGGCACATAAGAAAGATCCCAGGGCCTCAGACACATGGGGAGGTCAGAGATGAGACTGATCCATTGGCAGGAAGACGTCTCATTCTAATTGGATGTTGTGACTTGTTATAAGTGAAGCCTCGTTGTGACGATTGCCACTGACTTAATGACTCCCAAGGGATCTTCTAAATTAAGAGTTGTCAAAGTTTCCTGTAAAGGGTCAGATAGTAAATGTGTTATGTTTTATGAGCCATATGTTTTCTGTCCCAACTACTCAACTCTGCTTTTGTAGCACAAAAAACCATTGTGGGTGTCCCAAGAAGTGACTTAACATTTGCAGCACACACTCATCTTTATAATCCGAAATTTTAAGGATGCACACAGGTAGAGATGTCTTCATAGATGTGTTTTTTATTTTTGTACTAGTCTATGACTAAGGAAATTAAAATCCAACTCCTGAGCACTTCTGGATAACCAAGCTCTGTTTTGAGAATATCCAGTTGGTCCTTTAAATATTTTAGAGATAAAGAACATAGGGTGACAAACACATTCTAAGGTGAGTCATGATTTTCCCTTGTGGTGTCTGTGTGTCTCAATGAGCAAATGTTTGTGAAAATGAGGTTAAAGATATTGCCTTTCTTTCTAGCATCATAGGATTGGCTCTACCAAATAAGAGGTAACAATAATTTTATCAAAGCCATTTTCTCTGTTCCTACTCTCTTTCTTTTTCTTTTAAAAAGATTTATTTATTTATTTGAAAGGCAGAGTTACACACACACACACACAGACAGAGAGAGACAGAGACAGAGACAGAGAGAGATCCTCCATCTGCTGGTTCATGCCCCATATGGCTGCAATGGTTGAGAATGGGCTAGGCTGAAGCCAAGAACCTGAAACTCCTTTTGGGTCTCCTAGGTGAGTGGCAGGGACCCAAACACTTGGGGCATCTCTGTTTCTTTCCAAGGCGCATTGGCAGGGAGCTAGGTCAGAAGCAGAGCAGTTGGGACTGAAACTGGCACCTGTATGGGATGCCAGCATCACAGGCGCTGGCTTTACCCACTGTGCCACATGTTGGCTCCTTTTTCCTACTTTCAAGACGAAGCATCCAGTATTCCTTGGTGATCACTAATGAAATTAAACATTGTTCTCAAAAACTTATGAGATGGGTTGATTTGTGATTTGATTATAATTGCTCATTTAATCATTTATTTGAGAAACAGAGAAAGAGATGGAGGGGAGAGAGAGAGAGAGAGGAAGAGAGAGAGAATGAATGTAATAGTACGCTCCTATCCACTTGATCATTCAACAATTAGGTCTGGGCCAGACTTCAGAACCAGGAATTCAATCCAGATCTCCCACATGATAGTTGGGACCCAACTACTCGAGCCAGGATGCACATTAGCAGGAAGCTGGAATTGACAGCAGCACTGGAACTCAAGCCCAGGCACCCCAGTATGGGATGGGGGTGTCCTCAGCAGCATGTTAGCCACTAGGCCAAATGCCTACCCCAGAGAATTCCTTAGAATAAAGTGAGTTTTCTCAAAGAAAGGGAGTCAGAGATACCTTTCTGTTGTTAGAAAAGGCTGACAATGGAAAGCTGCTAATAGACAGTAGGAATGACTGGGAAGTCCTTGTTTAGGCAGAGCGAAGTGGTTCCATGGTAACCACAGTGCGAAGGACTCAGGGGGTGTTTGACCTCTGCAGGAAAGAGTACCTTGATGAATCAGGGATGTATACAAGGAGAAAGTAATTGTACATAGGCAGTGAATTTGCTTAGTTCTGATTGAGGTATGACCTTGCAGTAAGTACTGTTTAATGTTTAATTTTTAATTTCCTTGTCTGTGAAAAAGATGATGATACCTGGCCCACTTACTTTAAGAGCTGTTGTGGGGATGGAATGAGATGGTGTCTGTGAAAGCATTTTGAGAATATGACGTGGTTGTGGAGAAAAACTTGCCCTCTTCCCTTTTAGGTCTGGGGCATGGGGACCCATGAATTGGACTAACAGGAGCAAGACACACAAGGTTGTATTTTTTGCTTCTTTTTAAATTTTAGACACAGAGAGACAGATAGCTTTCATCTGCTGGTTCACTCCTAAAATACTAGCAATGGTTGGGCTGGATCAGGTTGAAGCCTGGAGCCAGGACTCAATCCAAGTCACCCTTGTAGGTGGCAGGGACACAATGACTTGAGCCATTGCCTGCTGCCTCCCAGGGTGTGCTTTAGCAGAGAGCTGAAATTGTGAGCAGAACCAGGACTTGAACCTAGGAATTCTTTTTTTTCTTTTTCTTCTTTTCTTTTAATTTATTTGAAAGGTAGAGTTACAGAGAGAGGAGAGAGAGGGGAGAGAAAGGGGAGAGAGAGAGAGAGGGAAAGAGAGAGATCTTGGGGCTGGCGCTGTGGCACAGTGGATTAATCCTCTGCCTGTGGCGCCGGCATCCCATAGGGACCCCGGGTCTAGTTCCACCTGCTCCTCTTTTAATCCAGCTCTCTGCAATAGCCTGGGAAAGCAGTGGAAGATGGACCAGGTCCTTGGGCCCCTGCACACGTGTGGGAGACCTCCTGGCTCCTGGCTTCTGATCTGCACAGTTCGGGCCGTTGCGGCCATTTAGGGGGTAAACCAACGTAAGGAAGACCTTTCTCTCTGTTTCACCCTCTCACTGTCTGTAACTCTACCTCTCAAATAAATAAATAAATAAAAATCTTTAAAAATAAAAAGAGATCTTCCATCCGCTGGTTCACTCCCCAATGGCTGCAACAGCCTACGCTGTGCCAGGCTGAAGCCAGGAGCCTGGAGCTTCTTCCAGGTCTTCCATGTGGGTGCAGGGGTACAAGAACTTAGGCCACCTTCCATTGTTTTCCCAGGCACATTAGCAGGGAGCTGGATCTGAAGTGGAGCAGTTGGGACTCAAAAGCAGTGCCCATATGAGATGCTGGCATTGCAGGCACAGTGCCACAGTGCTGGCCCCAGGCATTATACGGGATTCAAGTGTCATCTTATCTACCGGCCAAACACCCACCCAGCTGAGGGATACACGTTTTGATGATATTTCCATGCAAGGGCATTCACAGAAAAGGATGGAAACTGAAAGAAGTCAGATTTGGGGACTAATCACCTTTTTTAAAAAAGAAAGAGGATTTGAAATTCAAAGGATGATGAATTGTGGGACATGAGTAGGAAATCCATGGGGGAAACTAATGGATGATAAGAGTTATTTCAGTAGGATGCGTGGAGGCAAACTCATTTTGATGTTGACTCCTTGTCTCTGGCGATGAGAGCTGCCCTTTCTTTCCTGGCAAGCCTGGTGGTAATGATGCCCCTTCCTACAGGGAAATGTACATCCTGCTTTTAGCCAGAAAAGTGGGGCTTGGGGGTGCATAGAACCCTTCCTGCATCTATTAATTCTCAGTTGCTTTGGATCAAAATGGTCCTATGCCTAAGTGGCATATTTTGGGGTGGCATAGCCCAATCCTCCTGGAGAGCACTCTACAAATGCAATTCTACAAGCATTCTTGTATTTTAACTTGCATATTCTCTCCTCAGATGGAAGTCTCAGTTTCTTATAAACTCACAATGAAACTGTCCCAGCGGAAAAGGGTGGAACAGAGATGACAAAAATAAAAACAGAATCCTTATTTATCCTTTCCAAAAAATGCATCAATCTGTTGAGCGTCCATAAACAGCCCAGGGAAGATAGGGATGGAACTAATTAGCTGCAAATATCCCTCGACTCCTTCACTTTCCATCTGAGTTTAATTTTTAAAAAAAGAGGCCCTGATGGGTTCCTGCCTTCAGGTATAACTACCGCAGTGACATTTAAAGCACACGTGACACGGTTTAGCTTTAATTAGAGTACATTTGTGGAATTTATTTGAGTGGTAGTTTCGGGGATGGTTGGAGGCATGAGAGTATATTTAACAATTCATTGCTGGCTGAAGCTAAGATTTAGCCCCTATCAGAAGGTTCTATATTTAGGGCAAAATAATTAAGAAATGGTGCCCAGTGAATCTTATGGTCATGAAGTAATCAGCCAAGTCAGTGAAACATTCTCTGAGAAAACACACACACAAAAAAAAACAAAAACTGAAAAAAAAAAAAAAACCTGCTGCTGACAACAATGGAAACTAAAAACCTATAGAAGTTTTATTTTAAACAATCTTGAACATTTTCTTGATTTACCAGTGTTAAAATTCTTTTGGTTTGCCATAGCCTTTTTGACATTGATAGTGTGAACAATAAAAAGAAACACAAAGGAGGAAGGGCTTGGCACAGTGGTTAAGATGTTGTTTGGAGTGCCTAGGTTCAAGTCCCAGCTCCACTCCCAATCCCAGCTTCCTGCTAATGTGTACCCTGGGAGATAGCAGGTGATGGCTCAAGCACATGGGGTCCTGTTGAGTTCCAGCCTTCTGACTTGGTTGTTGCAGGTAATTGGGGAGTGAATTCGGGAGTAGAAGCTCTCTCTCACTCTTCTCTTTCTGCCTTTCAAATTTAAAAAAATAGAAATACAAGCTGTAAGAAGTATTTTAGACCAACTGAAAGAAAGCATGAATAAAGATATATTCATTGAGTGATTCTTATGATTGTTTTCAATTTTTCTATATTTGTGGCTATTTTTCCTTTATAGTTCCATTCATTTTATTTTTTTTAGGTTAACATGGCTAATGTTTTGTCATTTCATCAATTGTTGAAAGGAATCAGTTTTTGGATTAATCACTAATATTCTTACTTACTGATTTTTTTGGATTCTAATACCATTAACTGATTTTGTCTAATTCATATTATTTCTCTTTTTATGTTTGTCAATTTTATTTTGCTGTCCTTTCTCTAAAATATTGAATATTCAATTTGTTTTCATTATTTCTTAACGTTTTTTATTTATTTGAAAGGCAGAGTGTCAGAGAGAGGGAGAGACAGATAGAGATCTTTTGTCTACTACTCACTCCCCAAATACCTGCAACAGCCAGGGGCGGGCCACGCTGAAGCCAAGAGTGGGGAACTCCATCTGAGTCTGCCACGTGGGTGGCAGAGACTCAAGTGCCTGCACCATCATCTGCTGCCTCCCAGGATGTGCATCAGCAGGAATCTGGCTGAGAAATGGAGGTAAGGATTGATCCCACCCACTCTGATCTGGGATGCGGATGTCCCAAGTGGGCGCTTCACCCACTGCACCACAATGACTGCCCCTTGATTTTAATTTTGAACCAAGTCGATTAATAATTAGTTGCCTGCTCACTATGGCAGCACATATACTAAAATAGGATGACTCTCAAATTCGTGATGTTCTGTAATTTTTAATTAAAATATTAAATATTTGGTTCCAAAAAAAAGAATAAGTTACTTAGTTTCATGAGACTGATTTTCTTTTTGTCCTTCTCTTCCTTCTCAACTCTTCCTCTTTTATAGTTTAGTATCATCAATTCACCATGGTATGTTTTGTGCTATTTCTGCTCTTCTTTTTGGTTTGATTTACTGTCAAAATTTTATAAATGCAGTATGAATTCTTGTAAAGTAGATGTACTTCTTTATTTATTAAGATACATCTACTGTGTTCTAACTCATCAGTTGTATAATTGATCTGCAACATTCTTAAGTATTTTTTGTGTAATTGATTTTTCATGGACTGGGCAGACGTTCTTCCTATTGGCTTGGCACTCTGCAATGCACAGTGCTTGTTTTCCTCATGTCCTGTTGATATGGCACTAGGCAGTGTGAGAAGGGATCTCCCTGGAGGCTGGCACTCTCTGCAGGACACGTGGGAAGGGTCACTAGCCCTGATTCTTTCAAGTTCCTTTGCTTGCTTTGGAAAGTTTCTATAGGTAGGGCTATGTTTGTCTACATTTAAACTTTCAAGTATTGTTGGTCATTGTGTGCTTTAAGTCAGAAATACATCTAAAGCGCAGTATTTAAAAACTACAACATCATCTGAACCTCTTTTTACTTTAATACATGTATTTACCTCAATTAACGATATTGTTGATCCATCAGCACTTCCTGTTGATTTTATCTTCAAAACCTATCACAACTCCATCTGCTTTTTGTTTCCACCACCCCCATCCTAATATAAGCTACTTTTTTTTTTTCTGCTTGTTTTGCAAGAGCCTCCAAATTTATCTCCCCGATTCCAATCTACATAGCAGCCAGAGTGGTTATTTAAAAATATAAATGAGATCATGTAAGTTTGCAAGACCCAACAAAGGTATCTCTCCACACTTGGAAAATGATCCAGATTCTCTCTCAGATTCTCTGTGGTCTGTCTTTTGCAGCCAAGGCCTACCTTTCCAGCATCGTCTCCCATGCCTTCCTTCTGTGCTGACTACGCTCCAGCCAAACCACACTGACATTCTTTCTGCTCTGGAACAAGATGAGCTTCTTCCTGCCCTCAGGCTTTAGGGCTTATTTTCTTTCTGTGGAATGTGCTTTCCCCAAGCCTTCCTAAGACTGAGTCCTTCTTGATCTTACTTTCAATGGCCATATCCTTAGAGAGATCGTCTTCTCTGACCATCCAATCCAAGTAGTCTTTTAGTCGAGTTTTATCACATTACCTGTATTCAACACACGGCGTGTTATTACTTGGTTCTTCTTATTAATGGATTTGTTCGTTGTCTGGTGCAAGCACTGGTATGTAAGCTGTGTGAAAGTAGGATCATGCCTGTTAGTTATCACTACAGGCAATGACCAAATAATGTGGCAGCTACCATAACTCCTCAGTCTGGTTCTGTTCCAAGTCCATCCACTGGGTTCCTTCCCTAACCTACATTACAATCCCAGGAGGTTGGTACTAATCTTATTTTATCGTTGGAAGAACTGAGGCACAGAGAACTTCAGTGATTTGCCTAAGGTTGCACAGTAACTAAAGGATAAAGTTGGGATTTGAGCCCAGGCAAAGGCTGCAGACACTACAAGGCTATGTGTTAGTCCTAGGGGTTACAGATCTGACAGGCAGAACAATGCTCAGTGGTTAGGAATACATCACAGGCGAGGAAGGAGGGCTAGGGAACTACATGAGTCAGATATCTTACTTATATTAAATCAATGCTTATATTAGTGAAACATTTTGGTATGAAAATATGTAAGAAAACTTCGATGTATTTTCATTAGTTTTCTTTTATGTGTTGTATTGATATTTGTTATATAGGTGCTTGGCGTCGTTATTGTAGAACCATGGAGACAGCAGATGAAACATTTTCCTATTTAAACATGCTGAGAAGCTGAAGTTAGTAGGACTGGATTTTTTTCTGAGGTGATTTTGATTTTGGTTTCCTATTCTTGCAGCTGGCTGAGGGAGAGACTCTTTTCCAGGTGGAAGATGATGTGAAGGGACAGAGGGAAGGTGAGCAAACCATCAGGAGAAAATTATTATTTACCGCTTTGAAGAAAACATTTTGAAGTCAGGAAGCATCAGCAATGTGAGTGTGTAGGACCGTATGAAAGTTTGTGAAGACTTTCTGTGCAATTCCAGTGGCCTAAAATGGCTGATCACAGGTGCACCCTGTAGCCACCCCATGCCTCACTGGATTGAGCAGTAAAATTAGACTCCAGTTACCACCCATAACGGTCAGTCTTTGTTTAGTACTAGGAGCTAGGTCTTTGCAGCCATCAGCTCATTTAATCCTTACAGCAAAACTAGAGAAGTATTTTGTTACTATGATTGCTATTTTACTGGTGAGAATATCGAAGCCCAGAAAGATTAAGCAATTTACTTAGTGTTGCACAGCTACAACAAAACAGAGAGCTGGAATCTTAGCCCAGCCATAGGGTTGTGTGAAGAAAGAAGGCAGATAACTACCACTACTGAGTGTTGAGTATGTGTCTGGTCCTGTGTGCTTCAGTGTGTTCCATTTCATTGTCATGACCCTGTCAGCTTATCTTCCAGGCCAAGAAACCAAGACTCGGCTAGGATTGGGGAATTTTCCCAAGGTTATGGATGCCTGTCCGACTCCAAAGTCTATACAAACTAGTAACTCATTAAACCCTTTAAACTACCAAGTGGGGTACTGGTCTTCCTTCTTCATTAATTACCTTTCCTGTCCTGAATTCTTTCCCTCTGATATTTTTCTCTCATTCTTTGTGCGTTTATGATACACAGCTCAGTAATGTGCATTTTATAAAAACTTAGTGACATCTTCAGAGCCCAGACCATGAGTTGGGCGTTGTGCTAAGCTGTTTTCCAGGAATTATCTTATGTACCCCTCCCAGCAGCCCAGTGTCATAGGTATGATTATTAATCCTTTTCCTTTTTTAGCCTACGGAGTGACTGGAGTTGCAGAGACCCTCTTGGCAGTACTTGGGTGAAGAGTCTGCTGACTGAATTCCCCAGAGACAGAATAGACCATCTGATAGCCTCGTCACCTTCCCCTACACTGAGAACGAATGAACCCAGAAGCCGGATTCTTTTAATTGTTGTACATTACACAAGACGCGCAATCCTATTTTAAAAGAGGTTTCTTTCGGGAAGCAGGGTGGTTTGGAGTTGTCTTCTTTGTGGTGTGCTTCTTGAAAAGATCTGGGAGGCTAATCTGGTTAATTCTGGACGCTTCCTCCTGCCCTCGCTTTCTCTCGCTCAGTCTTCCGGTCTCAGCACAGGCACCGTGAGTGTGTGTGGAGCGAAGGGACGACAGGGTGTCGGGCTCTGGGAAACTCATTTGCATACTTGTTGTTGCAGGGCTGACCGCATCCTGGTGAAGACAATGTGCTGTCTGATAAACAGACTGCCTGCCCCAGTGTCTGTCTGGAGTGGGGCCAGCGTGCGGCCCGCCTTTGTCACAAGGTGCTGTTTATCCTGCCTGGAAGTCCAGGGACGGGACAAACCAGCTAGCTGAAGCTTTTATTTCTCCCGTTCTCTGGCAGGAATTCCTCAGGTCAAAAACATGTGTTCATAGTAGATTAAGGGTGGGAAGCATCAGAATTCTCCAAAGCAGCTCGCCTCACCCCGCGGAACGCGCCTTGTGCTGTTTTTATCTTCCTCTGGAGCTGTGAATTCCTCGGGCTTCGGAGAAATGAGGAAACTTGGAAAATGTAGTGCATGAGCAATAGAAAGAGTCAGGCTTGCCAAGACCTTCCGTTGATAAGTATTTATTTCCACATCTGTTTTCTGTGTCCCCTTTCTCTTTTCCTTCTCCCTCCTCACCCCACACCCACAGACAAAAATGGAGGCTTACACAATTAACTGGGGACTGAAGGGCTTGCTGTTTAAGGATCTGGATAACTGAGTCCCAGTTTCTCCATTCTCACTACAATTTGGTAAATCAAAGACAAGAGGCAGAAAGATTTTGTGGGTCGGTTTCATTTATGACCATTTAGGTAAGAATTTCGTCTCTGCTTCCTTTTTATTGTTGTTTTTTTTTCTAGGACTCCCCTCAAGACAGAGCTCTGCTGAAAGATTTTCCAGTCTAATATGGTCCATATTCTAAGACCTATTCTAACCATAGATTGTTTTCTTTTTTGGTTGCTGTAATCACCATGCAGAAGTTACTCTGTGACCAAGAAATTGTTTTACTATTTTTAATCAATAATTCCTATGAACAGATTTTGTCGCTAGGGGAGAGAAAATGTGCCACTGTTTCCTTCCTGCATTGGCAGAGACCTCCGAAGTCTGTTTTGGCCACTCGTGTGTCTGACCCCACCTGAGTCGTGAAGATATTCAATGCAGTCCTGACTGGAGTCCTACTTGGAGGATGATGATAAAGGAGGATGCTCCAGGACAGTTTGGAAAAGATGCCCATCAGCGTTTTGAAGGATTACCAGCATTTCTGTTAGAGACTGTGAACAGATTTCTGCCTGCTAAAGAGCAATAATATGGTAGAGATGGATTATTTTGAGGTTTGGAAGTAAAATACTTGCATGTGGCAAATACTGGGGTTTGTTGTGAAAATTAGACCTCTGTAGACTCCCTGAGAATGGCCTATGCAGGAAACAGGTACCCCCTGCTCACAGCTGCTGCTGTGGAGCCCAAGTCCTATACCAGCCTTGGTAAATTCCAAGTCTTGAGGACTAGTATGTGTGTTGTCAAAAAGGGAAAAAAAATATTCATTAAAGTTGAGTGGTCTTTCCCAATCGGGAAAAGCTGGCATTACCTGGCAGATGGTGGAGGCGCAGCTGGAGGAGAAGGACTGAATCAAGCTGGTGGTGGTTATGGGTCTTGTCCCCAAGCCAGGGTTTGTGCTAGAGCTTAATCTCATGACCGCGTTTGTTAGGGTATGATTCTAGCAGCACGTTTCTTCACGTGCTCTAGAAGAGCAGATGTAAGGAGCCTGCCCCCGTCGGATTATGTTCACCCTGCTTCTCCAGTCTCTCACCTTCCACTGTCCTCTGCCCTAGTGCATTTTGATGAAACGTGTCACACACGCTCTTTTCTAATCTGGTATTTAAAAGAAGTAGAGCGGGGATGGCAATTAGCCTAGCAGTCAACACACCTGTGTCCCACATCAGAGTACTTGTGTTTGGTGCCTAGCAGGTGTTTGGCTCCTGTTTCCAGTGTCCTGCTAATGCACATTCTGGGAGGTAGTGGTGATTGTGCAGGTAGCTGGGTTTCCACCGTCCTTCTGGGAAACCTGGATTGAGCTCCTGGCTCCTGGCTGTGTCCTGGGCCGAGCTCTGCTTTCCCAGGAAACCCCAGCTATCTCTTGATTATCTAAGAGATTTCAGCCTGGCTAGTTCTTGGTGATTTCACAACTCCTAAGGGTCGCCCCTAGTGGGTGGAAAAGGGTAGTCAAAGCTGAAACCCAAACCAGTGTATTTTGCCATCTGGTTAGAGTTTTGGCAAATAACTGGATCAGAGAAGGGAGCTGAAGTTGTACAGTTTCCATAGTTTCCAAGTTGGGGTGTTTGGAGATAGGAGGTGCTAGGGTGTGTCTTCAGACCCAGGGCTTGTCTCTGTCATTAGAGACAGTGACAGGAAAGCCATAGATCTTTCCTATATTGGAAAAAAAATGGCTGATCAGACTTACAGATGTGTTTATTTCTGGAATACCATGGGTGGTATCTATCTGCCCACCACCCATGTGTCTCTATAAGGCAGAAGGTGGTGTTAGGGTTGCTTTCATCCCAAGCTCTTTGACATCAGGACAACAAATGTATGCGGTTTCAGTTTGTCATTCTATTTTAACTGCATTTTTTTCCTTCCTCCTTTTTTATGGGGTAGTTTAAGGTTTAGATTTTCTTTTTACCACTGAGTCTAACTTAATTGTGGTTATTTTATTTTATTTTTTTGTGTAAGTGCCCAGAGCTTTCTGGGTTATTGGTAAACTTAAAAAAATATACCACAGTGCATGTAAACATATATAATTTAAGAACCAGTAATGACTGGGGCCTGTGATAACCTTTGGAAAATTCTTACTTGGAAGCAGTTCTAATTAGCAAGATATTTTCTGGTTTCCTCCTTGCATGCTCTGTTAATAACAACGATGTTAGTTGGAGAAAATCCTTTTTCTTTTTATGATTTAATTTTCCCCTTTCCCTTTACAACAACCAATTCTACTGCAGTTACCTTTAATAAAAAAGTGGTAAATTTATGCTAACAAACAACTGACATGATAGAGATAAGAATAGTTGGACTCTTTAGAGCATTTTGTAGATGTTCTTTTAGAATAAATGGTGAAAATGAATTACGGGGCAATATCATTAATCTTCAATAGTGTATTCAATAGAATCTTTACAATTTAAAGAATACACTTTTTATTCAATTAAGTATATTCCCCATTTTCTTTTTTTTTTAAGATTTATTTATTTTTATTTGTAAGTCACATTTACACAGAGAGAAGAGAGACAGAGAGAGAGAGAGAGAGGTCTTCCATCCGACGGTTCACTCCCCAAATGGCCACAGTGGCTGGCCGGAGCTGCTCCAATCTGAAGCCAGGAGCCAGGTGCTTCTTCCTGGTCTCTCATGCGGGTGCAGGGCCCAAGCACCTGGGCCATCCTCCACTGCCTTCCCAGGCCATAGCAGAGAGCTGTATTGGAAGAGGAGCAGCCGGGACTAGAAACAGCACCCATATGGGATGCTGGCGTCCCACGTGGAGGATAAACCTACTGCACCATGGCGCTAGCCCCCCAAGCCATGCCTTAACCACCATACCAAATCTCCACTCCAGTTCAGTTATTTCAAGTAGTGAAGAGACTAATGGCTAAATGAAACACTAGTAGAATTATTTCACATTTTAAACTTTGCTTTGGACCACAGTGAACAGGACTGACAAAGCTGTGAGCTGCTGGTATTTGGAAGATATAGTAACTTGATTCTTTATTCTTGATCATGTCAAAGTCTTGTGAAGGAAAGGCTTTGTTTACAAAGGATGAGATTGTAACTAATTCATAATATGTGAGTTACACATGGTGAACCTCTCAGTTTATGTGTCATAATTTTGTGTGGACTTTTTTTCTCTTCTAGCATGCAAATTCATTTTAGGAGGAGGGATTGCTTACATAAAATATTTGTTTACCAAATTATTCACCTCTTGATCTCAATTCACGGTTCAAACATGAACTAAGCTTACAATATTTTTTACATATTATTTCTTATGTTTCTTATACATCAAACTTATAATATTTCTACAGCTGTTTTATGCTGTAGCCCTAAAAAGACATAAGAGAACTTCTTATGTCTAAGAAAATTATACTTGTGGGGCTCTCATTGTGGCACAGTGAGCTAAGCTGTGGCTTGGGACACCTCCATCCTATATCCAATGTCCGGGACAGAGTTCTGGCTCAACTTCCAATCCAGCTTCCTGCTTATGTGTCCTCTGAGAAGCAGCAGATGATGGCTCAAATACTTAGGCCTCTTCTACCCACTGGGAGCTCCAGACGGAGTTCTTGACATCCGCCTGGCCCACGCCCAACTGTTGCAGTCATTTAGGGGTGTGAACCAGAGGTTGGAAGATCTTTGTCTGTCTGTCTGTCTCTCTCTCTCTCACTGCCTTTCAAATAAATGAAAATAAACTTTTTTAAAAAGCAAATTATACTTAATACAATAAAGCAACATACTATACTAGCATCATCACAATTTCTGGAATTCCTTCTTGTGTTGCCAAAGAATTTTAAAATAAGTTTATTTCCTAATGATTGAAAGTAGCCCCTAAGACATGTATAACAACTATTGAATGATAGTAAAATGCACACAAGTGCAACAGATTTACAGTGTATATTTGCTTAGCATTTATTATACTTGGTCTTTGGTAAGTAGCTTTTGGATTTGCCAGGATGGAGATGTTTCTTCCACAGTTGGGTCCTGTATAAGTAGCTGAAGGAAGCTATAGAACTTCCAGCATCTTTCCCTAAATCCCATTCTATTCATGATTGGAAGGCCACCACAAAACACACCAAACACTGGAGTTAAAAAAAAAGGGTTATTGTTGGGTGGGGGAAACCCAACAGGTTGCAGGGAGAGGGCAAGAGAGGGCAGAAAGGGAGGGGGTCAAGAGAGAGAGGACAAGAAAGAGAGAACACGTAAGTGGGGAAGCAGGTCTTGTTATACTCTTGCAGGGGGCTGGGAAGTGTGAGCAGTGAATCCCGTTAGGGTCTGACTTCTAGCAAGCCAGGCTGGGTCCCGGACATGCCAAACTTGGTGTACAGGGTGGTGGCTGGGCCAGAGCCCTAGATGGCGTCCATGGCCTGAGATGGCACTTTTAGCTAAGACGGCACCATTTCACTAACAATGATGGTGAACGTTGGTTTGCTATGGTCTCTAAACTGGGGAACAGGCCTAAAGGCACTTCATGGTTCTCAATTCAGCTCTGTCTATGTCACCTAGGGAACAACTCTACTCTGCTGTATACCATTTTTTTTTAAAGATTTTATTTAATTACTTGAGAGGCAGAGTTACAGACAGAGAGAGGGAGAGACACAGAGAGAGGTCTTCCATCTGCTGGTTCATTCCCCAGATAGCTGATCTGAAGCTGGAAGCCAGGCGCTTCTTCCAGGTCTCCCATGCGGGTGCAGGGGCCCAAGCACTAGGGCCATCTTCCCCTGTTTTCCCAGGCCATAGCAGAGAGCTGGATCAGAAGAGGTCGAGCCAGGACTTGAACTGGTGCCCATATGGGATGCTGGTCCTGCAGGCAGAGGCTTAGCCTACTTCACCACAGTGCTGGCCCTGTATAAAATTTTAAAATTAAATTATAGATAGAGGCAGGCATTCAGCCTAGGAGCAGACACCTGCATACAACATTGGAGTGTCTCGGTTTGAGTCCCAGCTCCATCTGCTGACTCCAGCTTCCAGAGATAATGTAGGCCCTGGGGGGCAGTGGTGACTGCACCAGTAATGGGTTCCTGCCACCCACGTGGGAGACCTGGATTGAGTTCTTGCCTCCTGGCTTCAGCACAGTCCAGCCCTGGTCATTGTGAGTATTTGGGGAGTGATCCAGTGCCTGGGAACTCTCTCTTTCTGTCTTTCTCTTTCTGTCTCTTAAGTGAATAAATTAAAGAATATATAGCTACAAATATAAGTTAATGGTGAGTTCTTTTAGAAAAAGTACATTGAGGAAAATGAGCAAGAGTATTTGCAAAGTATTTTAACTAGTTCAAAATTTGTAAGTTTATATTGTGGATTCTTGGGAAACAACATGAAGTGATAATGTGTATCTCCCCGTAGTTTAGAATGCTAATAGAAGGAACTGATGTTTATTGTGTACCCTCTATCAACTAGCAATTTTGTTAATATACACTGGTATCCTTAAAGGTTGTTGATGTACACTGGTATCCTTAGACCTTGGAGATGGTCTTACTAGCTTTATTTTAAAAATGCAGGAACTGAGATTTGTGAAGAGTTAATGAACCTTCCCAAGATCACGCAAGTAGCAAGTGACATGCCAATCTTTATGAATTCCAGCGGCCCACTGTAGTCTATTTTTCCAGCATGCATACATTTTTGCTGCTAGTGAAATGGGTGGAGTTTTTCAAATATATAGCATCATATATTTAATCAGAATCTTCACACACATTCATGCATCAGGGTTCTACTCAACACAGATGTTTACACACCCAGTACCACCTGCCTGTCTCCTCAAGCAGCTAACTTGGTCTTGGGAGTCTTTCTTCATGAGCAATGTTAGATGCATCTTCTCCTGTCGATTCCAAAGGCCCTTAACATCTATCACTGGAATGGCTAGGGTCCTCGTTGCCTCTGGTCCACATGAAGAGATGTGACTCAACGAATACACCTAATCCCCACTTTCACTTTCAATAAGTCGCTCAGTGCCTCCCAGTCACCTATAGAAAGTTAGTATTCCTAAGGATGACATTCAAAGATTTATATAGTCTGTCCCCAGTCTCCTTTCTCAGGATCCTCCACCACGAACTTCCTTATCTGGACATGGATCTGATGCTGTCAAATGGTCTTCCTGCTCTTCCATCTGCGTGTGATGCTGTTTCTCTTGCCTGTTTACTGCTTGGCAACCTGAACATCATGAGGCGCGTTCAGATCCTAGGTCTTTCCTGAGAGTTCCCCATTAGCTTTGGGGTGAAGAGATCTTTCCCATTTAGGCTCCTTATTATTGTCTCCACCAATTGTTTGGTCCTAATGACTCACTGAGAAACATCTTGAGAACAGGCTTGGTCGTTTTATTTATGATGTGTCTGATCTTAGGTCACTTTTGTATAAGACTCAGTTTCCCCAGAGTTAAAGTGGGTATGGTATGTAATCCTCTCATTGGAACTTCTATTCTTTTCTGTGGCTCCCTCACAAGAGTAACCAATATTATAGCCTTGGTGTAAGAATTCATTTGGTATTAAACAGCATGTGATGGGTTTTGTTGCAGAAAGATTAACCCCACATCTTAATGTCTTAAGAAAACAAAATTTTATTCCTTGCTGATACCACATGTTTGTCCCAGGCTGACAGGAACTCTACTTCTTACTGTCCGTATTCAGAGGCCCTGTCCTCCAGAGCTAGCTCTCTCTGGAATAATGCAGGTCATTGTGAAGGGAGGAGGGGCATGTGGTGATTTATGGCTAGGTTCCTAAAGCTTTACCTACAAGTAATGCATGTGACTTACTGCTATGGTGTGGACATGGTTTGAGTGTCTCTTCAGGTTTCATCTGTTGCAATTTAATCCCCCACGGTGTGGGATTAAGAGGATGTAAACTTAATGCAACTACCATGCTTAGAAGTCGGATCTTCGGGAACTCATTTGGATTAGATCACATCCAGAGAGTGCAGCTTTCATGACTGAATCCTGGTAGCTTTATAAGTAGAGGGAGAGAGACCAGAAAACACACACACACACACACACACACACAATTCTTGTCTCATGCCAAGTGATTGATACTCTATATCGCTTTGAGACTCTGCCAGCTAGAAAGTCATCACCAGATGCAGCTCCTTGATCTTGAACCACCAGAAACATGAGCCAAAATAGACCTCTTCTGTTAACTAGTAGCCTGCTTTGGGTGTTTTGTTGTAGTAGTGCAAAGGGACTGATGCACTTCCATTCG